GCAAAACATGGAACGCCGCTGGTACGCAAAGCCATTTAAGAACGCCGCTGGTACGCAACGAATGCCTGAGAAGTTATGAGTTCTTCCAAAAAGCATAGTCTACTCGGCGAAAAGGGTTTGGGACCGAAGTACTGTGGTAAGAACAGGTTTTGAGCTGACTACTCATAAGAATCAAGTGGTTTAGCGATCTTGAAGGTAAGTTTTCTCACCCAAGTTCTTGTCGTTTGTTAGCCCTATCTCTTACAAGGAAATGATACTAAGTGTCCATGGCCTTTTGAAAAGAGATGTATACCACCACACTCGTACTCGAACGCTGGTCCCGAAACTACTTCCGTTCTGCTAATCGCTCAACGCTGATCCCGAAACTACTTCCGTTCTGCTAATCGCTTCTCTGAGAAAAGCTATGAAGGATTTTTGCACCAAGTTTGACCGCCCGAGCCATAATAGGAACATCAAACTGCCGGTACGCTGTGGTATGCTAATGGTAATGCTAGTGCGATAGCCTTATAAGTTGATGCAGGTATAGTTCGGATCCTTTTGTGTTTTTCAGTTCCGCATTGCCTTAACTGAGCTTCCTTTTGGAAGTTAGGCTTCCTCGAGGTATTTGCATGCCCAAACTCTTTGAAAATTCAATGGAAAATCATTTTTATATATTGCAAAAGATGCCCATAAAATGAAAATGAACGGAAAATTAATGCGTGTTCATTTCACCATGTTGACGTTCTATTGTATTTCCCTCGGCCGGCCAAAATGGGACAAAAATCCTTCATAGCTTCTTTCAAAGAAAGAAATAGCAGAAACGGAAATCAAAATCGGAATGGTTCGAAGACGAGTATAATGGTAAACATTTCATTTCAAAACGCCACCGACACTAAGTATCGTTCCCTGGTTAGATACAGATAGGGTACTCATTACATAATCATATGTGTCACACACGCTGTCCACCTTTGGCGTTCCCATCTTGGAATCTTGGAGACAATCATTCAGGAAAGTGTAGTGTGTTTTCAACGTCTCCTTTCTTTTTTAGATACTAGTAATCTCAAAGTAATGTAAGCGACAAAAATCTTCCACACTTGCGTTTTTGCAACTGCAAATCTGGGATGGGGACGCCAGGAATGGACGATTTGTGCAAATGCACACATGATCATATGAACTGTTTCGAATGTGAATGGGCTGATTTCGAAATATTTTAACATTGTGGTAGTCCATAAAGCGAAATCAGTCAATGTGAAAAACGCGGCGGTTAAAGTTTCAAAAACACTTCTCAATCTACTATTAGAAAACGATATGAATTGAAATTTCTACCATAGTTTCAGTAAAGATTATTGCTTTGTTACTGTTTCGTTTGTTTGAACTGAAAGTGTGACTTTTTGCCTTTGTAACAAACACAAACATGTTCGAAAATGACGGTTTCCAAATTTGTGTAGTCTGAATTGTAGCAATGGTTTCTAAAGCTCATAGATGTATTTGAGGTGTGTTTGTCACAATTTAGGCCCTTACTAGTATTGTATGTAAGGAATGAAGGTTTACGAGACTGACTGAAACAGCGGTAGTAAAATAACCAGGTGTGCTGCACAGGACTTTCAAACTGTACATATTTAATCTTCGCAATAACAAGTGAAGGTGAAGGTTTTAGGGTGTGCATTTATCAACACAGCGCTTTTGTTCTTCACCTTGTCTAAGCGTTGTATGTCTCATTTTGGAAAGTTTGCTTCTCAATTGCGACCCTCCTCCCCCTATCCACTCCCCAATACGACCCCCAGGTCGGGCAGGCCTGACCCCATGCACAATCCTGTCAAGAATCATTGGTCGATGTCATTAAAAGATGTTGACTCGAAGATTCAAAATGGCTTAATTGACATAATTAGCGCAGAAAGCAATTTGAGAACTTACATCAGATTTTTGACTATCCACAGCGGTTGGTTTACAGACATCTTCACCATCGATACTCTGAAAGAGTAAGAACTTGAGTGAGTAAACGAAAGAGAAAGTTATGTGTATCTATATGACTAAATGTATACAAGAAAAATACAGCGCCATTTGAGCGTCAAACAACACTGTTTGGCGCATTCGTAAGCGTCTTAGTTCTGTGGTGAACATCCCTAGAGTGCTAACCTACGACAGCAAGTTTTGCAGCTTTCTAAAGACAGGTTGTGATAAATAACTGCTGTGAAGTGAAGCGTGCTACTCTCCGACACTTACCTAATCGGTAAGAATCGGTATGCTACAACAGTTTTACAATGCTTATTGCAAACACTATATCCAGTCTTGATCTTCTAAACTATATGGAAAAACAACGTTCACATTTTTCGAGATCAATTTCCAAAAGTAAGCAAGCGCGTGCGCATCGCAGCCCTATATTGTAGCCCTATATTGTCAGAGATAGGTCCCGTTTCACCAAGCATCGGTAATTATCTGTATTGGGTAGCGTTTTTATCGGTAATTTTGTCTGCATTGATTGTTTTCATCACCTATCCGGTCTCGAATCGAAATTCTAGACGAAAACCAAACTACGACTCTTTTAGTTCATTTCTGAGATGTGAAGATGCTGTCGAACTGGATCGAAAGATTTGCAATGTGTGTGAGAGTAGACATGGAGAAAATCTATCGTCTTTAGAATGATAGAGGAGTTTCGAAACTGGCATATGAACTCAAAAGTACACCTCTTCCGGAATGTTTGTCCGACTTCGATGAAAAACAACAAGAAGGTTGGGAGAAGATTGACGGAGTCCATGAACGCAGACTACAGGCAGCGGCTCGGCAGAGTCTCGTTTTCCAGTTTTCACCTTTTCGGGGTCCTCTCGCCATACCTGGGCTTTTCCACGCATGAAAATGGCAAAAATGAGCTCTTTTTGAAGTTTTCCAGGTCCGCGACGCCATCGCCAACCCCACCCTAAGGCTTAGACAAGCATATGCGGAGCTCGACTGTTATACAACTTGAGACAAGCAAAGCAAAGCGAAAAGAACTCCACCAAAATTGATGAAGTTAGCATATTAGCATATATTACAACAACAGTGATTACAAAATCGATTACCTTGCTACAGCTTAATCAAAAGTTTAAGATAATCATTGCACGGAAAGAAAAGATGGAAATCTAACAGCAAAAGTTGTCGAAAATGCATCACCGCACCCTTGATCTGGGAAGCAAAGAATTGGTTGGACAGCATGAGAATGTTGGGCGTTGTACATTTCGCTCACATACTAAGTATCGGGAAAACCGACAGGGAAAAGAGCACAAGCTCGTTCCACGTTTTTGGCGAAGCATATTTTGCTACCACATACCTTTTATTGGTGCTTCCTGCACTCACTATTATCATTTCTCAATGACACTAAAGATCTAGCTCTAGTGGTTGCAAAAAACTTGATAAAGTCGCACCTTAAAACTCGTTCGCTTATGTCGACTCTTCCCGATTGCATCATCTCTATCGTACTCGCGAACACTGTAAGATTCTTCCGTTTGTGTATTCTCTCGTGTAGGAGCACCATCAAAGAATTCGAATGCTCGAGACTGAATGTCAAATCGATAGAATGATTATCACATCCCAAAAGGGGGTTAGAATCACCATTTGAGAAGACTGGGTAGCTTTCTCATCTTCGTGTCGTGACGTGATGACAGGATTCGGTTCTCGTGTAACACCTTGAAATATAGAGTATACATGTGGATAGGCAAACACATTTTCCGACTGTTAAAAAGATATAGTATCGCTAGCAGAAGTTTGTGAAACACCAAGTGCATAACGGGAAGCCAAACTTTTCACCTGGCAACTCTGGAACCCTGAGGGGCAAAAGGGGACATACGCGGGATCGGGATCTACGAGTAAAGCTGGGTTCATACTGATCCAGATGTTCCGGAACAGTTCCAGCACAGTTCTCGCATTGTGCTGGCATTGTTCCGGGACTGTGCTGCATGCGCCGCAGCCCCCCGCGTGCGTTTTGAGCGGCGCGAGGTAGCAAATTCAGGTTTTCTACAATGATTTTCACGGCACATTTCGCTCGCATTGTCCTCACCCTTGTACCTCGCTCGCTCTCGCGATAATAAAGGATTTCAAGTTCGGGGAAGGGTATAAGAATGAACGCTATTTCGTTGTATACATCAAGCTGAAAGCTTTGAGAAATCATACCGCGCTCATCCGCGGCTTTTCTCCAAATTTGGGGTTCTTTCAGCAAAAACGGAACGGTAGTCAAAAACGAACGAGCAAGCAGTACGTATTATAAGAAACTAGCTGGCATACCCGGCTCCGCCCGGTCC